CTCCTGTAGAATTAAGGTAGGGTGTTGAACAGAATTGTTTTAGTTCTCTTTGTCTTTTTAATCACTTAATTCACTAAATTGCATTGCTTTTAGTTCAAATTATTGCTTTTATTCACTTCATCACGTCATATAATCACTTAAAAATCTGTTAGATGGTACTTTGTCTTGATAGCAGACTTCTTTTAAATTTGTATCACAGTTTTCTTTTTATGAAGACTTTATATGAGAAAGATAATAACCTTTTAGAGGAAAAAAAGCTTCAGAAACTGCACATAATCAACAGTTGCTATGTAATTAGAACTGTTAATTCTGATGCGGTTCAATAACCTTATGAAAATCTGTGTGGCCACTGATCTTAAGTGCTTAGAAGATCAAGGCCTGATTTCTCTTGGGGTCAGGCAGGCACCTCTGTTCCAGTTGGAATTTTCTGAAGAGTGGTAGCAAGGAGAAATCGACTTAATTTCCATGGAAAAGAGTTCAGCCTTGTTTTCCCCAAGACTCAAAGAATAGTACATTGTCTCATACATACAAAGAAAACATGAAACTATTTTTTTTCCTAACCAAAATATTTTTTTTCCTTCTTGCAATAGCTGCTCTCCATTGGTGAGAAACAAAGAGTACTCATCAGTAAAATAATTGTACAAGTGGAAGCAGTGTCTGCAAAACTAGCAACTGATTTTCCTTCACTAGGCTCAAACATAGATCTAGACAGAGTACAAACTATAATGGAATCTATGGGATCTAAGTTGTCTCCAGGTGCTCAGCAACTCATGGACATGGTCCGATGTCAGCAGAAAGTAAGTCATTGTCCTTTTCCATAAATATAAATAGTACTGATCTGTGACCTTACCTTCTGTAACAGTTAAGCATGTTCTAAACTGGATTTGTGAAAAGAGATTTTTTTTTTTTTTTTTAACCTCCATTCTGCCATTTTAATCCTGGTTTAGCTATTGCCACCCTTAAATAAGGAGTGTAGTGAATAAAGATTGTGTACTCAAGGAATCCCTGTGCATACACCAAGTCCAGAGTTAAGAACTCTGTATCATCATCATTTTAAACTTCACTGCCACGCTACTCTCCTTTTGTTCATTTCCATTGTCCCTGCTTGTTCGGGATGGTGGGCACGTTCCCTGTAATGTTTGCGGTGTAGGTGGATGTGCTGGTTTGTGGTTATTAAAAGCGTGTCACCTTCAGCTAAAGGGAATGTGCTCTTACAGAGTGTTTATTTGATTTGACAAGATAATCATAGAATCGTAGAATCGTTTAGGTTGGAAAAGACCTTTAAGATCATCCAGTCCAACCATTAACCTAACACTACCAAGTCCACCACTAAACCAATTAAGGGTAGAGTAGTAATTTCATGTTTCCTGGCTTGGTGGCTGGATTATTTTTTAATGAAAGTGAAAACTAGGAATCGACACATAATATGTACAAATTAACACGTAATAGGTACAGGGAAAATCTTTTCCTGTGCTTTTCCCTAAGAATATAATTCAGAACTACTCCTAAAATCTTTATATCACTCTAGTAGAATGCTGAGTTATGAAGTAGCTATTGTTATTATTGTATAATTTCCAGTCTATTTTAATACTTAAATATTAATTGTATTGTTTTTCTTCCCATCAGAACAGTTTACCTTTTGGAGACAAACTTAACTGGATCTTTGGGAAAAATTCAGACTTTGGAGGTGACCATGCAACAGATGGATTGTGCAGTGCAGCTGTTCAGACATCACTAGATCAATCAGCCAGTGAACCTTTGCCTGTTAAAAATCATTTAACAAGTGAAACAGTGTGTGAAGACTTAAGTCGTGATGTGAACACGCAGGTACCTGAAGGAGGGAATACTTCTGATTCTGAAAGGTTTTCTACCCAGCAAAATACAGTTGACCTCAGAAATTATTTTAAAGTCACGGGACCTTTGCGTATGCAGGAACAAGCAAGTGAAACTCCAAATGTAGCTAATCCGCAGGTGCTTCTTCCTTTTCTTCAAAACTTATGTAGTCAAGTAAATCATCTTCGGCTAAAAGATGGCAATAGGCGTTTTGGTAAAAATGCAGTGACTAAAGAGGAAGGTGTTCAGTGTGTTGGGTAAGTTAAATTTGGTACATTAAAGTAGTAGTTTGGCTGTATTTATTGACAAGTTTAAAAAATAAAATACATAATGTAAGCATTTTATTCTCATTAACAGCAGTAGTGAATCTTAAAATATGTGGTTTTGAAGGCTGTGTGGCAATGAACATGATTGCAATTAATTTTTCAGATGAGCCGCTTGAATATAGGAGTTTTTTTCAGAAGAAATTGCAACATCATTTGTTGTTACTAAACTGTTTGTGTCTTTTGCCTCTATTTAATCTTTTGTGATTAAAAAAAAAAGTATGGCCTTTCTGCAATTCCATATACATTTAGTTTGCCTTTCTCACCTGTTACTACATTTTTGTTTTAACTACGACCACCTCCTAAATTCTCATCTCTTCCTTTTTTCACCCTATGTGCCACGATCTTTCTGCTGTACTTAGTGTGCTCATCCCACTGATCTTTCCTGTCTGTCTTCATTTGTTGGCATTTACAGTGCAAACTTTACAGTAGTAGTAGTGTACCTAGTTTGATACCTAAGGAAAAATAATGGAAATGGTGAGATGTAGCAATCAGTGTTCTTCTAATAGAGCCTGAATATCTCCAGCTCCTGGGAAAGTGCAGTATTTTTAAAGAATGTAGGTGCAAAAAAAGAATTGCATAGTTTGTGTAACTCTTGAAACACTTTAGCTGAGAAGAATAAAGCCTGCCATACTGACAGAATTTGTACTCTCTGTATACTGTTGAGTTGTGTGGATTTTGTTACACATAACTAAGCTAATGTATAACTGAGCCTTTGAAAAAAAATAAGGTTGAAAGAAGATGACTGTATACCCTAGCTTGTTTATAAAAACAATGTGGCAGGCAAGGTATTTCACTTGTGCTAAAAACCTAATACCATCCAAAGTTTATTGTCTAATAAATGAGATTTTACATTTAAAAGAAGTTCAAGTGCCCATATCTCTGTCATGGCCCTTGTCATTAAGAAGTAGGTTATACTTATTCTTACATTTGCTCTTTTCACAGAGTAGAACAGCAGCCTATTTGCTCCTATTTGGAAAAGATGATCTCAAAAAATATGGATCTGATGGAGAAAAAACTAATGGACTATATTGATCGCCAAATCCAGGCTCTTCAGACACATATAGATAATAAAATGGTTCTCTTAATGGACTTGGTTCAGAACTCAAAGCCAAACAACGTTTCACAAGCGCACTATGATTCTAACGAGGGGTTCTCTAATGGAGAGAGATAGATGTGTATAGATATAGGACTTCAATGTAAGTACTTTAGGAGCAATTATACTTTACAAAGCTTAGTATTTATGGAGTTATAACTGTAAAGAACCTTATTGTTGTTGACTTGCATTTTGTTACTGTAATTCTATCCACTATTGTACACAGTTGTTAGTTTTATGAAAGATCTTAAAAAAGTGTGTTTTTTTCCTAAATATAAGAATTTTGTATGCCCTTCGTGGCTTATTTATTTAAAGAGCATTGCTAAAAGCCATATGAAACACAGTTTTCCAGTTTCAGTTTGAACTCTAAATAAACTGAGTTACAGCTTATCTTTTTACATATGTGTAATCAGGTTGCTTTTTTGTTGTCTTGATTTTTGATGTGTAGCATGTTACCAGTAGAAGAGAATGTGGTTTCTTTGTGCTTTTGGCTTATTTTAATGGCACTCCTGTTGAAGATGCTTATTGCTCTGTTTGTAAGAGGAAGGGTAGTACTGGCATTGCCTAATTTAGACTGTTTAAGGGTTCAGGTTTAGAGAGACAGGCTGACTTGAACCCCAGCCTGGGTTCTTTGAAAGCCTTGTTGGCTGTACAGGCACCTAAGTTAGGAACGTAGACTCCTTAAGTGATATCTAAAACAAGACCATTGTTATACTTTTCCCCTCCTAAATTAATTGAGCCATGCAGGAACAACTAAAATGAATGTATACTTAGCAGACTTGTATTTATCCATGTTTCATTATCCTAAGAAATCAAAGTACTTCATTCGTGGTTGCTCTCAAGGGGACCTTGTTGCCAGGTAGAATGGGCTGGGGTTGGATCTGCTGCGTTTCCCCAACCTTGGGCCAGAGAAGTAGCCTTATTGCATCATATTTACTTTAACCTGTTGGGATCAGTTCTGCTCTCATTTGGGGAGGTAGAAATGTGACTCCAAGTCCCTCTTTTGTGGATGGTCAAGCTTTATGCTTTGTTCTGTTTATTGCTCTTCGAATTCTGGGGTGCACCATTTAATTTGGACTGTATAGGGACTTAATGGCAAACCCCTAAATCGGGTGCACAGACATTGCTCTTTTTCTGGGTCTTTAAATGCATTGAGCAAAAGCTGTTGATGGGGAAGCAAGTGTTGACTGAACAAGCAGCGTAGGCACGTACAATCCAGTATCTTTATCTAGTCTACTTAGTATTTTCTTCTTCTCCAGGAAAACTGATGTCTTTTGAAGACTGTCAGATCTTGATGGTAGCAACCCACAGGAGTGGATTTTGAAGAGAGGATAATTTGCTTTGAACAGACATCTTGCAGTTGTCCCTCAGCTTAACTCATGCCAGATGCAGTTTCAAAGTGATTTGAAAAGATAAAAAGAGAAATTTTTTTTTTTTAAGAAAAAAGGACGTAAATTGTCTTGTACTTTGCAAGTCACTTTACACCTGTAAAGTTAGTTTTTAGGTGCTTGCTAAGAAACGCCCTGAGGTAGACACTTGTATTCTTTTTCAACGCAGTGATTTAGGGTACAGTGCTAGGTTGAAAGGTTTTTTTTAATTACAAAAAAAGTTGAAAGATTTTCCAAGCGTTGTTGTATTTCAAGGCTGTTATTTTATTGATTTTGGTTGGTTTGAGGTTTTTCCCTCTCCCCTCTTTGGGTGACAAATCTGAATAAAAGTTGACAGTAATTCAAAATATCCTGAAGAAGTTAATATGAGCTCTGGATTTTTTGGTAGCCATATCCTGCTTGGCGTTTGTGATATTTTAGTATCACAGCTACCACAGTGATAATATTTGAAATCAAAACCACAAATGAAAGAGTGTAGAAGCTGTATTGTTGCAGGTTCACGGTTTCTTCAGCATCTGCTTTAGTGAGGGATTCTGTGTAGAGAAGAAAGAAAGTGGGATGTTTAAAGTTTTGAATACCATGTCATTTTGGTTAAAATTAATTAAACATTGTTTTTCAGATATTTTGGTTCTGAGGAGTTGACCCACAATGATTGCAAATTCTGAATCTGTAGTACCGAAGAGTTGTAAAAATTTGTAATAAAACAGTTGTGCAGAAGAGCACATCGCAGCGTGAACAAATTCTTTGGTATTGCTGCAGCCAAGTTTCTGCCAAGCAGTGCTGTCATTATCTTTAGAATTGGATAGATGTGAGACGTATTGCTGAAGCAAAGCTGGGCAAAAAAGAAACTCGTGGTTCTAACCCTGTCCTTCCTCATTGTTTACTAGCTGGTCCTTGGTAATGCTCATTATTTTTCTGTAAAGTGTGAAAGATACTATGAGAATATATGTTTTATAATACTTCGAGTGTGATCTATTTGCACTTGACCTTTTCACATTATAGATGTCCAGTTTCTAGCATATGGATGCAAAGTCTTTCACTATTGAAATAAATGGGAACATGTTTAAAATGCTGCTAGAGTTCAAAGAGATTAATAATTATTTAAAAAAGGAAGAAAATGTTTATTACTATTAAGAGCATGATTAATGCTAAATACTTCTTCGATCTGACACCTGAAAGCATTTGGTGCAATGTGCTTTTCTCCGGTGAAGCTTTGTGCTCAAAAGTTAGAACAATGGGTGTAGTGGGAGTTACAAGCCTTTTAAAATAGCTTTTGCGTATTTTGCAGTCCGTTCTGCGTTAGTGCTCAGTACTCACCTAGGCCACTGTAGAGCAGACTGCAAATTGTGCTAAAGAGTGTGTCAGATCAGGGCACTAAAGCTTAGTTGTCTCATAAACAGCTTTGCAGCTCTAAGATAAAAGCATGGTGCTTTTGATTTCTGCTCCAGTGGTTGTCGTTTTCATATTTTTGTTCTAATAGGCAATACATACAGTGTGAGGATTTAACCTAGGGTGGAATAAGTATCTATGTTTATCATCTGCCATAACTTTTCTGTAGTGCCAACTAATAAAACTGAGTGAAATTGAGTGGACTGTTTGAAGATACGCAGGTTATAACAAAGCTTGACTATGGTTTGGATTGTGCTTTTTAAGTAGTCTGTGGCTTTGAGAAATGAGCCCTTATCCCTATGTATGCTTCATCAAAAAAATGTCAGATTTGAAAATCTGAAAGCTCTTGCCATTCATAACTTTTTCTGAATACGTAGTCAGATCCCGTGCTACTTTCGTAACTGGGAGTGAGCGCTTCTTTTTCTACTTCAAAGAACACGCCTTAATCCAAAATGCCATCAGTCTGTCGGTTCCAAAAGTATGTCTGTCATCTCACAAAACACAAACTTCTCTTGATCCTGTTGCTCTGATGCCATGTTAGTTCTGAACTAGTGTAATTCGCTTATTTTGTTAGTGGAATGAAGGTAATGGATTTACACCAAGGAAGAGCTTAATCAGGTTTGTAATTTAGGTATGCCTCTTACCGGAGTGATCGGCAGACCTGAGGTCTCTCTTCAGGCGGATGGGACCTACTACAGTATTAGTTTTCCACATGTATGAAGAAATAGCTCTCTTTTGCCTGGAGATACAGCCTTCAGTACAGCGAGAGTTTGCGTTGTTGCTGTCGCAAATTAAAATATCACACTGGAGATAAACTGATGGAGAGCCGTGCAGGAACCTGAAGGCGTTAAATTTGAATCTTCCATAGTGCTCAAGTGGTGGGTAGGTTACTACAGTGTCATCTTTACTGCAGCTGCAACAGAATTTTTTACAGATCTGTTAAAGTAGTCCACGTAAAATAACCATTCTTGCTAACTACTGCTAACTAACCGCAGCATTTATCTAGGGCATTAGTTTTACATGTGGGCGTACAATGATGTGCTGCTTTTTCTTCTCCCCAGTGCAATGTAGTGCTTGCTTTTCTTAGCTCTGTTTATGTAATGCCTTTAAATTTCTAGGAAATACAGCTTCCAACCACAGTCTACTAAAGAAGATAAGTGGAAGAGAGACAAAAATAAAAGAACTATGGTGGACATGTAGGTTATATTTCCTCACATATTGGGAGGCAGTCATAAAATAATTTAGGGACTTACCCACTTCTGATTAAGTCATACGTTGGTGATCCAAAGTCAGGTTGCGGAGATGCTATACAGGTGTCAACAAACACCAAAAGATTCGGGTCGGTGGAATGAAGGCTGACTTGAGTAAAAAGAGTTTGGTTCAAGTCTACATAATATGGGGACTGAAGTACAGGCTTGGAGAATGAAGCCGAGTCATAGAATGTCATGCTAACATTGTATCTTCCCACAGCAGTTACGTTTTGGATTATATTATTTTTTGTTACATAAATGATTTCCACGGTTGAATTGTGTTCCATTTTGCATTTCACAATAATCTGTATGCTCTTTTGACGGGTGATAATGTTGCCAGTTGCAGAGAGAGAGATGATGTTGGTGTAAGTGATGCTGTGACCGTCATCCTGTAAAAGGAATCGTATGAAGTGCTCAGCTGTGATTATATGAGCAGTGCAGTTGAAAGCAATTGTACTAAAGTTAACAAATCTGCCCAGCTATGCTTATCAGAGGCTCAAAATACCTTTGAAAGGTGAAACGGGTTGCAACCAAAAAACTCTTATCGGACCCTCCTCCTGTTTTTTCAAAACACTGAACCAACCCATGCAGCAAAAAGGTTAAGGAATACTGCCTGGAGCATGGAAGATACCAAAGCTACGCTTCAGTCACCCTTACCAAAACAATGCTATGAGCTAGCTCTTGGGAATCTGCACATCTTAGGGTATTTCCCCTTTCCTTGTGACTGCAGGATAAGTGCCAGCTGCCATCGCTTGCAGGGAATGTTTAAGGTACATAGCTAACATTGTGCTACTTCTGATAACCTGGGTTGGAGAGGGAATGAAACGTTTGGGGTTAGTTTGTGTGGATTCTCCTGGACTTCCTTTGAAAGGCTCATTGATCGTCAGGTTCTTAAAGAGGAAAAATGTTCTTTCTACTTCAAGACTGGAAACATGCAGTTGGATGAGGGAAGTGAAAGTAAATCTGTAGTTAGCTTATTTGCATGCTATTCATACACTGCTTTTACAGGCTCTTGTCATTCATAACCTATGGTTAGCTTCATGTAACTTTTTTCCCACTTTACCTTTTTAGTTGTTCCACAGCTGGCTAATGGGAAGGAGAAGATCGCTGAATCTGTTATAAATGGACTGCAAGATGGATCATTCAGCTGCAGGTGAGTTTCATTATAACCAAGGGAGGCCAGATAAGACTTGCTCAGAACAACTTTCATGCTATCTGAAGAGCATGTAAGGAGTGCTGCCATTGAAAGAAATTAAAAAAAAAAAAAAAACAAAAAACGTTACCACAAACTGTGCTGTGGTCATTTCTCAGTTGGCCTGGATCCTTGAACCTTGTTGCATGTCTCTTGATGTGTCAGTCTGCAACGGCTCATGCACGTTTGAGGTCACGCAGAAGTCTGAACAAAATTTCATGCTCGACTTCATGAGTGTTAGATAAGTAAACCCATGTAAAACTCATGCTGAAAGTTTAATTTTGAACCCAGGAACACAGAATGAATTGCAGCCTTTATAAAAGGGAACAGGAGTCGAAGTGCTAGTGCAGAATGGTGGGTGAGGAAATTGATTTATGGCAGACATTGAGGCTTTAGAGGCTCCTTTTCCACCTCAGTTCATGAGAAGATGGGCATGCAAACATATGGAACCAGTAAGGAAAATTGTCCAGCTCTGGGGGAAAGGCATACTCTTCGCTGGGTAAAGAACTGGTTGGGTG